AAAAAAAAAAAAAACCACTAAAAAAATACCCCCAACAATAAAAAGCTATTTTGTAGTGGGGTATGGTGGTGGACAAATACTGATTTATAATCTCAGCACTTACGAGGCCAAGGCAGGGGGAACGCTGTGAGTTTGACGCCAGCCTAAGCAAAATACTGAGATCCTGTCCCAAAAAAGCCAATCAATCAAGCTCTTTTGCGATGGTTATAATTACTGAGGCCTTTTGGTTGCAGGTGATAGACTCCCAGTGTGAACTAGCATAATGTCTACATTTACTAGCTCATAGAGTCCAAGGAAAAGTTGAACAAACTATGAGTGGGCAGGCATTTGGAGCTTTAGGAACAATTGGAACCAGGCACTTGATAGCTTCCAAGCTGTTTCTCACCTCTGCTGCATTTTGCATGTCGGCTCCTTTTTCATTGCAGACCAGCTGGTTCCATATGGCAGGACGAGTGGCTGCTGACAGCTCCTGTGTTTTTACATTTTATGGCTTCCACACTGGAGATGGATTTTCTTTCTTTCAGTTCAAAAAATTCTGCGTAAGGACTCTGGCCCATCTTGGTCCAGGACCAGTGGCCAGTGGTCTGAGGTCATTTAAAATAACACTATGCAATCGTGACAAGAATTTACAGAAACATGATAAAGAAACAGAATGAGATCTATAGCAGTATCCATTATGTACAGTCAAAACACATACATAGAACAATGTATATTATTCAAACATAGATATATATTCAAGAACATGTAACAAACACAGTAGAGATACTACCTACGGGAAGAGACAGAACAGTAGTGGTAATTGAAATGCAGAGCAAAAGGATAAATGAGAAAGGCTTTATTAATGATAGTTAAATAAAACAAGATGGCTGGCTTAACTCTGCACCTGAGGGAAAATAAGCAGCAAAAGAAGGTGTAATAAAGGAAGAAAGAAGAAAAAGCAGAGAGAGAGAGAGAGTATTTCTGAATGAAAGCGAAGGGCAGTTTTCAAGAGAAAAAGATGAGAACGCCAAGATAATTCCATATATGCTCATTATGGAGACAGATATATCCCGATAAGTTGGTTGAATATAGGGATGAGGGAGACTGGCGGTGTCACAGGTAACTCCTAGGTTTTCACATAGATGGTGGTATAATTTATTGAGATGTAAGACTGGTGAAGAAACAAGCATTTGGGAAGAATATCAGAACTTTAATGAACTAAATTTGAATTGTTTGTGAGGCATCTAAAAGGATGTCCTTTCCCCCTTACTCTTTACCACAAATGTGACCTGCTTTGTCTTTTGTTTCTGAAGAATGAGCTCTTCAATTTATCAAGTACTTCTATTATTACATTTTATCTTTATTCTTCCTTCTATTTTGCTTTGTCTTTTCCTACCTTTGTTGAATGCTTAGTCTATTTTCTGTCTTTTTTTGGAGGGAGTGAGAACTGGGGATCAAACCCAGGGCTTTGTGCATGTTACACAAGCACTGTACCACTAAACTATACCCATAGCCCTTTCTTCTTTTTGGTACTAGGGATTGAACACAAGGCCTTTGCACTGAGTTATATCCCCAGCACTTTGAAAGTTTTTTTTTTCTTAATTTTGAGACATACTCCTACCAAACTGCTACCCTGTCCAGGCTAGATTCAAACATGTGATCCTCCCACCTCAGTCTCCCAGTGTTGGGATTACTGGCATGCTCCACATCTGGCTTGCCCTCTATTATTTTTTTAATAATAAAAGTACTTACAGCTACAAAAAATGTTCCTGAGCACTGATTAGAGATGTATCTTGGACTTTTTTTTTTTTTTTTTTTTGGTACTTAGGATTGAACCTAGGACCTTCACACTGAGCAATAGCCTCGGCCCTTTGTTTTTTTATTTTGAGACAGTCTCTTCCCTAAGTCACTAAATTGCCTGGGTTGGGCTCAAATTTGCAATCCTTCTGCCTTAGCTTCCCAGAGTGCTGGGATTATATGTGTGCACCACCACCTCTGGCTTGTTGTTTTAGATTACAAAACAAATTTGCTGTATTATTTGGTCACATACTATGTAATCAAATACCTATTTTAGGAGTTTAAAATATTACATTTGTACATAAAACCTGTACTTTCTGCGGTCAAATCCCTTCTTTGAAAAAACTAACCATTTTTAACATGTATTTTTTACATGTATTTTTCCAAACCTTTTAAAATGTACATAAAGTTTTTTTTTTTTGAGACTGGGTCTCACTATATATCCTAGGCTGGCCTACAACTCAGGATCCTCTTGCCTCAGCCTCCTGAATGCTGATTTGCAGCATGCACCACCATGGTCGGCTTCAATATGAATTAATTTTTAAATAATTCAGAAAAATGGATGCTTTTGCTCTAGCCCCTTAAATATTCCCCGTCTTTTGCACGGCTGAATCTTTCCACATTTCTTTTCACTTTATGCTTAACCATCTGATGATGAAGTGTCTGTCATGTAAGAGGAACTGAAAGAGTTCGATCATTTTTTTCAAATCTCTCATGCTCAACTAAGGAATTACTGATAAGTCTTATTTGAAAGGTTAAAGGTCCAATGGACTGCCTAAGACTAAGAAAGAGCAACAGGTGGAGGCGGGAAGCCTTGGGAGAGGCAGTTTCCCCACACCACCATTTTTAGTAGTTGACGGTCAAAAGGGCAAAAGTCTTCTGGTCTAGTTAAATTTTATTTATTTAGAGAGGTGCGGGGAATGGAAATCAGGACCTTGCACATGCCAGGCAAGCACTGTGACATTGCGCTACCTCCCCAGCCCTTGGTGTGGTTAAATTTTCTTTTGTTTCTGTTTTTGAGACACGGTCTCTCTAATTAGTACAGGTTAGCCTCGAACTCACTATGTAGCCCAGGCTGGCCCCTTTCTTAGCCTCCGAGTGCTGGGATTACAAACGGGAATTACAGCCACCACACCTGGCGTTGAAGTTAAATTTTAAAGGTAAAAGAAAGAAAAAAAAAAAATCAACCTGTGATCTAGGACAGTGATGTTTTCAAGACTCCATAGTGATGCAAAAATTCCCAAATCGACATATAATACCTCCTGGTTTACCTCCACACAACTCCTTCTCTTAGCACGAGCCAACTTGTGTGTAAGAGAGAGAGAAAGAGAAAGAAAGAGAGAGAAAGCTTTAATTAAAAAATCTTGTGGATGTTGCTCGCCACAAAGAAAAAGACTGATTGTGTGGTACCACTATGTCATCCGGGGCAATTTATCTCTTCAGCTCTCAGGGATTATTTCCTCCTCTTAAAATGGGGATCAACTACTCTAATAAGGTTTTTAAGGTCCCCAAACAAAAGCCTGGGGCTATGGCGGGGAGCCCTTGGCCTAAAACGATCAGAGGAGGCCGAATTTTTGGGTATCTCCGCCAACACGACACCTAAACCAACACCAACAATACTAATGTCTTCGGTCGCCACCACCGCGGGACGACCGCGAATGCCCACCTGGCTTGATCAGGGCTCACCTCACCTTCTCGCCTCACCTCACCGGCGCCGCGCTTCCACCTCCAGCCTCAGCACACCTTGCTCGACTACACTTCTGCGCAGGCGCAGCGCCCGCCTCTAGCACCCCGGGCTCGCTCTCCGGCATTGCCTCTTTCAAACGTGCGTTCAACGCTTTTCCTCCCAGTGCGGCCACCGTCGTTTGGGGAGGAGAGGAGAAAAGGGGCGGGGAAAAGGGTGGGAGTGGGTGAGCGCGCGCCTCCCGTCCGTCCGTCGGGGTTTCCTGGCTGCGCGCGGCAGTGGCGAAGTCCGGGCAGCTGTAGCAGCAGCCGCGAAGATGGCGGAGGGGTTGGAGCGTGTGCGAATCTCTGCGTCGGAGCTGCGAGGGATCCTGGCCACTCTGGCTCCGCAGGCCGGGAGCAGAGGTGAGTCGCGCCGCCCAGCTCCTGGGCCGGGCCTTCCCGCCCCGCCTCCTTGGCCTCCTCCCCGCCCCATCCGTGGCGCTCCCGAGCCCCCGCCCCTTCCCCCAACAGTGGGGGCGGGAGCCGCTGGCAGGCCCCTACCTGCCCCGGCAGGCTGAGCGCTGGTGCGGTGCCCGGCTCGAGCTGACCCCCCTCCGGTAGAGCCTGCCTGAGTTCCTGTCTCCACCCTCTTTCTCACCGCGATGGTGGCTGTTCCCTTTTGCCCCAGCTCCCTCAGATCAACCCCTGAATTCCCAGTCGTCGGGAGACGCGAACAGCGATGGGTGCTGGGGTCTTGTGGAGGTCCTGGGCTTTATTATTCCCAAAGGAGCCCCCCGCGGGCCTGCCCCCCTGGTCTGGTTGGCGTCGGAGAGAAGAGGCAGGGGAAATTGAGAAAGGTGTAACGGGCTGGGACTTCCTAGCAGAACTTTTTCCTCCACCGCAAGCTTCTGAAAGCTGCGCCACTGGAGTGATCCTGGACCTCAGAGAGCTGAGTACTTTGATTTGACCGTAGCATATAGGGGAGCAGGTTTTTGTTTTTGTTTTCCTTTCTTCTTTTAAGCAAAGAGGATATTCATTTTGTCGGTGAAAGTCTCCAGCCACATCAGAAAAGCTCCAAGAAAGGCTTATGTCTCACCTCCCCTTTGTTAGGCTTTGGAGTTACGTAGAACGGTAGGTCTGATAGGTTCCTTCCCTAGTCTTGTGGTAGCAGTCTGTGAGGCTGGTTTTCATTGGTGAGTTAAATTGGGTTATCCAGGCTGTTTGCTTCTGTTCTACAAAGTAGTAGTAGTTTCTCTTCTAAAAAGAGAAGAAAAAAAACGAGCAGTAGTATCTCTTCTAACCTTACCTTTCTGCCCACAAACCTACGTTACAAAGATTATGACAGTTCGAGGTTGAACTGCTTTATTTTTGTTCATACTTGGAGAGTCCTAAATTTCTGGAAACACTGAAGCAGTATCTTAAACTTCAGTTTCTTTTGCTTTTTTGTTATACTTATGAAAAGTGGGTGTAAGTGCTAGAGCATATACCTGTTGTGGGCTTGTTTGCATTTGTGTTTATGGTGCAATGCTAGGGTTTTATGTAAAATTTTATTTTGAGTACTTGATAATTTCCTGTCACATTCCTACTGAAATGTTTATAGCTAACTTAGTCTCCCCCTCCCCACCCTTTTTTTGATAGGGCCTCACTGTATAGTAGTTCAGGCTGGCCTTGAACTCACTGTGTAGCTCAGGCTGACTGAGAACTCTTGGTGATCCTCCTGTCTCAGCTTCCCAAGTGCTGGGGTTCACAGGTGTGCCCCTATGCCTGGCAGTAGTCTTTCTCTTAACAGATACTCAGAAATTCGTATACTTGTTTGTCATTCTGTAAGTTCATGGACTCTGGAGAGTGGTCTCTAAAGCCTTACCCTCTTGTTCGTGAGTATTCCCAGTCCTTCGCATTTTGAGAGCGTGCAATAACCCTTCCATCAGTGTCTAGGGAAAGATCTTGTATGGAACTTTTTTCTTCTCATATTGTATCATCATAGTAGCAGTTAGTCTCAGTATTCTAATGATGATAGTTTGAGCAGTATATTTTTGAAACAACTCTGCTGACTGCTGTTACAGAGTTGGTGAGGATGAGTGGAGTTGAAGAACAAAAAGAACTGCGGCCTGTTTGCTTCAGTAGGAAGTATGTGATTGGGTAATTTGTATCCTAAAGAAGCGGATTGTCATGGCCAAGTTCGCAGACTAGAGTTGCAATTTTTTTCTCCAGAGATGTTCAGGACTGTGGCTTGTTACACATACCCTTCTTTTTCTCAATTTTTTTTTCCTTTTGCAGTGCTAGGGATCAAACTCAGTGCCTCATGCTTGTGTATTCTACTACTGGGCATTTCACCTCCTGCCCACTACTAATATGTTAAAAAGAGTTAGCTTGCTAGGCATGGTGGAGAATGCCTGTAATCCTAGATACTCAGGAGACTAAGGAGGATCACAAGTTTGAGGTTAGCTGGGGCAGTTTAAGGAGACTGTCTTAAAATAAGAAGAGTTAGGGATATAACAGCTCAGTGATAGAGCACTTGCCTAGCATAAGCGAGACTCTGGGTTCAGACCCCACTCTCTCTCTCTCTCTCTCTCTCACACACACACACACACACACACATATGCAGGATTTGCCACCCTGGAAAAATGTTAGAAGTAGAAGAGACTGAGATGGATTCAGAGGCTTTATAGATAGAAAATAGTCTAATGCTATAAATGTTAGAGATCTTTTATTGCAATAATGAGAGTTTGGGATCTTGAGGTAGTTTGGAGTCTTGGGAATCTGAACATGAATATAACTTGGGTAACCTGAGAAAACAGGTCCCCCCCACCCCCCGTTTTCCTAGCCTAAGCATAGGCAATTCTTCACAATTAAGTTCTTGCTTTGCTGGTTGACAAACAAATACTATAAACCCAAAATTTCTGCTTTTGTAGAAACCTTTCCTAACCACCACTGTTAGTATTTGGATGTGTATTCTTGCATGACTTTCTGTTACTTACCAGAATGACAGTTTTCCTCCTACTTCCTCCTTTATTCTTTTTTTCTACTTTTTCCTCTTCAACTTTCTCCCTAATATAACAGAAAACATGAAGGAATTAAAGGAGCCCAGGCAGCGCAAAGATAACAGGCGCCCAGATCTGGAAATTTATAAGCCTGGTCTTTCTCGACTAAGGAACAGACCTAAAATCAAGGAACCCTCTGGGAGCGAGGAATTTAAGGATGAATTTGTTAATGACAGAGATTCTTCTGCTGTTGGAAATGGTACACAGCTCATTAAAGATGCCTGCAAGAAACTGGACAGCCAACAGCAAAATGGTCCTCTAGACTCAGAAAATAATCAGGGGCAGGAAACCTTTCATAGGACTGCTGGACAAGAGGATCGAAGTCTAAGAATCATCAAAAGGACAAAGAAACCAGACCTGCAGATCTACCAGCCTGGACGGCGTTTGCAGACTGTTAACAAAGAGTCAGCCAGCCGAGTGGATGAGGAAGAGATCCTTAACCAGGTAGAACAGCTGAGAGTAGCAGAAGATGAGTGTAAGGGAAAAGTTGTGAAAGAGGAAGTTGTGAATAAACCAGACAAAACTGAGACAGAAAAGAGCCAAAATAGTGACAGAATAAGGTCTTCAAAGGGAGAAAAAGGAAAAAGGATTGAAACGGGAGAGGGGACAAAGAAAGTGAATAATGATATGGCCCAGGGGAAGCTGGGTTCTGCAAAGCGCTACTCGCGCTCAGATAAACGAAGGAACCGATACCGAACTTGCAGTACCAGCTCAGCTGGTAGTAACAACAGTGCTGAGGGAGCTGGCCTGACTGATAATGGATGCCGCCGCCGCAGGCAGGAGCGGACCAAGGAGAGGCCACGACTGAAGAAGCAAGTATCTCTCTCCTCAACTGATTCCTTAGAGGATGACAGAATTGATGAGCCTGATGAATTGGGGCCCAAGAGGAGCTTAGAAAGGAGGAAACATTCAGAAAGAAACTGGTCTGGCCATGGGGAGGGTGAGCAGAAAAGCAACGGTAAAGAAAATCGAGGTACTCTTCGTGTCACTTTTGATGCAGAAACCATGAACAAAGACTCCCTTATGGTGAGGTCAGCCAGGGAAGATGTAGATGAGATAAAGTCTGACAAAGGCCTAAGTAGTGAGGGGAGAGGTTCTGAGAAGCAGGAGTCCAAAAACCCCAAACAAGAACTCCGGAGTCGGGGTCGTGGGATTCTGATTCTGCCTGCCCGTACTGCTCTGTCTGTCAATTCAGCAGGTTCTCCAGAATCTACACCTTTGGGACCTCGGCTTTTAATTGGATCTGGTAATAAGGGATCTCGGAGTTGGGGCCGTGGAGGCACCACCCGCCGACTGTGGGACCCGAATAATCCTGATCAGAAACCTGCTCTAAAGAGCCAGACACCACAGTTACATTTCTTGGACACTGATGATGAAGTCAGCCCTACATCTTGGGGTGACTCACGTCAGGCCCAAGCATCTTACTATAAGTTTCAAAATTCTGACAACCCCTATTATTACCCTCGAACACCTGGCCCTGCCTCCCAGTATCCCTATACAGGTTATAGCCCCCTACAGTACCCAGTGGGTCCTACAAATGGTGTGTACCCAGGGCCTTACTACCCAGGCTATCCAACTCCACCAGGACAGTATGTATGTGGCCCTCTCCCTGCCAGCACCATGAGTCCTGAGGAGATAGAGCAGCATGTGAGGAACATGCAGCAACAGGAGTTACATAGGCTTCTCCGGGTGGCTGACAACCAGGAACTGCAGCTCAGCAACCTGCTTTCCAGGGATCGCATCAGTACTGAGGGCATGGAGAAGATGACTCAACTCAGGTATGGTGTGTTCTATCCTGGGTAGAGGGAAATGGGGACGAGGTGGAAGTGTATAAGCTCCCATGACTAGCCAGGTGTGGTGGCGCACACCTGTAATCCCAGCACCCGGGAGGCTGAGGCAGGAGGATCCTTGCAAGTTCGAGACCAGCCTGGGCTACAAAGTGAGCTCAAGGCCAGCCTGAACTGCATAGCGAGACCCTGTCTCAAAAAGACAGGAAAAAAACAAAAAACAAAACAAAAAAAAAGTTCCCATGACTGAGGAAGGTAGAAACATTTTAGGTGAGCCACATTATTTCACTTTGCATTGATCCCCTCTTCTACCCAGAAAGCTGGTGATCAAAACTAAGGCCTTGGGGCTGGGGATTTAGCTCAGCGGCACAGCGCCTGCCTGGCAAACGCAAGGTCATGAGTTCGATTCCTGGTACCGGAAGAAAAACAAAAACAAACAAACAAACAAAAAACTAGGGCCTTGTGTATATTGGTCAAGCACTTACCATATCACTAAGCTGCCACATTGATTTTTTTTAGGGAAGGGCTTGTTGAATAAAAAACTAAAGCTTTGTTTTAGTCTTAGAAATGCGTGTGCATCCTACTTTTTCCTTTAGAGAAAGGGAAAGACTTTCTAGAATGCCAAGAAATGAACAAAATAACTTGCAGCGAAATTTTATTTCAGCTGTTGAGCTTAGTTGTGGACATACGGGGAAACACTGTTTTCCTAAACTTAACTATCTTTGTAATGACATCTTGCTGTGTAGGATGGAAACTAGCTTGATATGTATTTGGATACGGTACTTGGTCATATTTTGGATTTCTTTCCAAGAAAGGTGGTTAAATTGCAGGAAGCTCTTGGGTCTTCCTGTAGTGTATATGGAGCTAGAAGTTGCATGTATTTTGTTCCAGAGCTGAACTGCTGCAGTTGTATGAACGTTGTATTCTATTAGATATTGAGTTCTCTGATAATCAGAATGTGGATCAGATCCTGTGGAAGAATGCTTTCTATCAGGTGATTGAAAAGTTCAGGCAGCTTCTCAAGGATCCAAATGTTGACAACCCAGAACAGATTCGGAACAGACTTTTGGAGCTCTTGGATGAGGTAAGCAATTATCTTTTAGTCCTCAGGATAAAGGCTTTAGCATCCTCTGATTATAATGAATTTCTATCACTGAGTTTCTATCTACTATGTTTTAGAACAGAAAATTGACAAAACACTTTATAGTCTTTTTGGATTTAGGCCTGATCTACTGTGTTACTTCCTTAGGACTATAACTTACAATTGGAACTAGTTTTGAGCTTGAAAGCTTTCTGAATTCCTTGGTCTGGGTGTGGGGTAGAGAATATGTGTGTGTTTGCTGTTATCCTTAAAACTGTGGAGAGGCTTATACTGTGAATTTGTCTTGTGCTCAGTTGGTGACCACTAAATTTGTATGTGCCTCCATTTACATAAGATATCTAAGAACTGTGAAAGAGTCATTTGCCCCAGGTTCTGGTGGGTAGGTTGGATCAAGAATAAGTTGATTCCAATAGATTTTACTTTTTTTTTCTTTGTAGGGTAGTGACTTCTTTGATAGTTTGCTTCAGAAACTGCAGGTTACTTACAAGTTCAAACTGGAGGACTACATGGACGGTCTTGCCATTCGTAGCAAGCCATTACGCAAGACAGTAAGCCAGCTTGCTTTCTTTTTGTTTTAATGGTTTTGGGAATTGAATCTGGGGCTTTATACATGCTAGGCAAGTGTCCTAACACTGAGCTGCATCTCCAGCCCCTTTTTCTTTCCCTTTCTCCCTTCTTCCCTCTCTCCTTCCTCCTTTTTCTCCTTCTTCCCTCTCTCCTTCCTCCCTCTCTCCTTTCTCTCTTTCTTTCTTTTTCTCTCTCTCTCGACAGAGTCTAAGTTGCCCAAACTAGCCTTGAATTTGTGATAACTCCTGCCTCAACCTCCCAAGTAACTGGGATTACAAGCATTGTAAATTCTACCATGCCCAACTCAGCTTCTTTCTGTATCTTAAATGTATTTATCCATTTAGTAAGCGTTTATTAGTGCAGTTATGTGCTGGATACTGCTCTGGGTGTTGAGGGTACGTGAGTGGAAGATAGTCCACTAGCGACACAGACAGTTGAAACCAGCAGTTGTAGTGTCATAAGTATTACGGCATTGGTGTACATAGACTCTGCCAAAACAGTGTATACCTACTTCAGGAAAAGAAAAACTTCAATAAATATTTTAATACTAAATTTATTGAGATATGAGATTAATACAAGTTACCTTTGGTCCCTGCAATTACAAGAGGTGCTCAAAATAATGGCCATTAGCTCCCAGACATTTATTAGTATGGCAAACTGCTGCTTGAATAACTTTGGTCATTGAGATTGCTGCTGACTTGCATTTTCATTTTCTTCTCTAAGGTCCGCAATGTCATGGGTTTTCTGCAATATATAACGTCCTCTAGTGTCCTGCGTGTGAAGTTAACACCATCTGTTTAAAAAAACATTGTACTGCTTTTCTTTTCCTGACGCATGTATACATTTCTTGTCAGACCTTGTATGTACTGGTGAAGGGGCCTGGGAGAGGTGAATCTAATTTAGGCTGGTGGGTCAAGGAGGCGCCTCAGAGACTGCAAAATTAACTCTTGAAACATGATTACAAGTTTGAAAGGAAAAGGGTAGTTAAGATAGAGGACACCAAAAAAAAAGATGGCACAGTGAGTAGGAACCAGATGTTGCTGGGGAAAATGCAAGAAGTTCAGTGTGCTGATGTTTAAAATGTGGAGTGGGGCAGTGTGGGAGGTAAAACTAATAAAATAGAAAGCAAATAGATCATAAACTTTATGCCATGCTGAAGAGTTCGGACTTCATTGTGAAAGCATTGGAGAACCATTGATTGATTTTCATCATCAAGTGGATAAAAGATTTGTTCTTAGAACCAATAAATTTTGGCAAATTGCTGAGTTCAGATGGAAGTTGGGCAGGAGTGGAGGTAATGGAGTCAGGTTGTAGGCATGGATGAGGGTAGAGAGAGGTAGTGGAGGTGGGTAAAAAGACCACTAGGATTATATCGTATGATCATAAAATATAGTGAGTGGCCAGGCATGATGGTGGACACCTGTAATCCCAGTGCTTGGGAAGCTGAGGCAGGAGGATTGCCATGAGTTCAAGGCTAGCCTAGACTACATAGTGACTCCCTGTCAGCCTGAACTACATAGGGAGAACTTGTCTCTTTAAAAAAAAAAAAAAAAAAAAAAATCCAGTGAATATTAGAATTTGTTATAGTAAATGACACATTGTTATTAAACCTCAGAATACTCCCCTTCACTTTGAACGTATTTGTTTCATTGTTTTTGCCACTGTATATTTTTTTTTGTTTTGTTTCGGTTTTGAGACAGGGTCTTGCTGTTAGTTAAGGCTAGCCTTGAATTCACTATGTAGGCCAAGCTGGCCTTGACTTTATGGTGGTCATTTTGCTTCAACCTCCTGAGTGCTGGTATTACAGATGTATACCACGACATCTAGCTTGTCTTGCCACTTTCTGAAGCAGTACTGGAAGCTTCCTCTTTTTTTTGTGTTTTTGAGACCAGGTTTTACTATGCAGTTCAGGCTGGCCTTGAACTACTTACTTTGTAGCCCAGGCAGCTTTAAGTCCTCTGAGTGTCTTTAATCGTGCTGTAGCTGCCTTGATGTTCTGAATGGATTAAAAATATTTACCTTTGATGATTATCTTGAATTTAGGGAACAGCCAGAAGTTACACTGTGCCAGATCCTGTGAATAAAGTGGATGAAGAACAATACATTTTATTTGGCATAAATGACCAAAAACATTTGTTCAGGGAGGGATGATCAAAAAATAGTTAATATTTAAATAAAAACATTCATTACAGTAAAACACAGATTGCCTTAAAAACTTAAGAAAATATTCCTCACTTAGAACACACCCCATCAATCTTGGCAATGAGTCTTGTACTGTAATAAATTGTTTTAATAATTTATTGTATTTTTCAGTCACCCCTCGTAGAACCAAGAGGTGGCTGATTGGGTGTAGGGGCTAAGATTGAAGGCATATCCTCACCCAGAAGTTAACATTCTTATTCTGCCCAGATTCAGAATAGTTTCTCATATTGTTACATAGTATTCTGGGAAAAAGGAACCTTTTGGTTACATGGGAATAATATGAGCAATAATGTCAATTGGCTTTCTAGGGTTTATTGTATGAGTTCACCATATATTCACAGTTGGTATGGACATTGATAGATGAGCATACTTTTTTTTTTTTAGTATACTTTATATCAGCTACAATAATCATTGGAATTCCAACTGGTGTTAAAAGTATTTAGCTGATTAGCCACATTACATGGGGGAAATATCAAATGATTGCCAACCATACTATGGGCTCTAGACTTTATTTGCCTTTTTACTGTAGACAGTTTAACAGACATTATCCTAGCTAATCTTCATTAGGTATTGTTTTACATAACACATACAATGTCGTAGCACATTTTCACTGTGTCTTATCCATGGGAGCTATGTTTGCTGTTATAGGAGGATTGCTCATTGATTTCCTCTTTTCTCAGGTTACACTCTTAATCAGAAATAAGCAAAAATTCATTGCTTCATTATATTTGTAGGAGGATCTAGGTCAGTGATGGCAAACTCTTTAGAGCTTTCAATGATATGAACAGCCCAGTGAGGCATGTGTGCCATAGGTTCGCCACCATTGGTCTAGATCCTCCCCCAAGGGAGGAGGGGCTGCAAAGGAAGAGGTCAGTTCAGGTTTCGATATACATAGATGAGATGTCTAATAGGAACTTGAAATTGAACAGATGAATGCTTTGATGCCTTTGGAATTTAGGAGAAAGAGCTAAAGTGGCAACAAATTCAGGAGTCTTTGCTGTGTGTAGGTGGTAGTTGAAGCAGAAGTTAGAATACTTAGAAGGCTGGCTAGAGAGGAGGCTCTAGGTGGGAAGGGCTGATAAAATTGTCAAGTAATGCAGAATTTTCAAGTGTTAAGATTACTGAGAAGTGTCCATTGAATTGCGTGAGCTTATCAAGAGTTGTTTTAGTTGGAAAGCATAGAAGCCAGATTGTAGTAAGAGAAGTAAGGCAATAGAGAGAATGAGAGCCTAACATAGACAAGACTTTTAAGAATCTTGACTGTGAAAGCAAGGAGGGAATATTGCTAAAAGAGAATTCAGTTCAAGACAATTTTTTGCTTTTGTTCAGATGTTTATTTTCTTATTTATTTGGAGCTGGAGATCAAACTGAGGGCCTTGCACATGCTAGGCAGGCTCTCTGCCCTTGAGCTCTACCTTCATTCTTTGTTTTTGTTTTTAATGGTGAGAGAAACTTCGAGGAATGTTTAAAGGTTTATTAGAGAATAAGGTATGGCTTATGGAGCAAAGAGTTGCTCTTGCTCTTTGGGTTTTGTTTAGTTTTGAGATGCTGGGGATCATCCGAGGGCCCTAAGCATGGTAGGCAGGTGCTCTACCACTGAGCTACACCCATAATCTTCTCTTGCTTCTTCTGATAAATTGCTATGTACATGCTCTCTTACTAATCAACAAGTATTTATTGAGCCCCTCTTACATGCTAGGTGCCATTCTAGGCAGAGGCAGTTCAGTGCAGAATAAGAGTGCCATGATCACAGTTCTTGGAGTGCAGGATTTGTTTGGGGGTAAGTGCAGATGTTGGATGAGCACTTACTGATCAGTCAGTTTGAAAAGTGTATTGTAAAAGGGTTTACCTGATGTAAAGGATCGTGCAATACTAAGGAAATCACAGCTAAGCTGAGGTTGAAGACTTTAGACTTAGAGCAGAAGCTTTGGTATTTGGCTGGAATATAAGCAGATGTATACCACCACATCTAGCTTGTTCTAGGTAAAGGTATATGGGAAGATGGAGGAAGAGCAGGATTCTAGGGGGAGGGAACAGTATAATTTAAGATCCTGAAGTGGGAAAGATGTGTGTTAAAGGGAACTGATACGACTGAGGCATAGAGGGTGAGCAGAGAGGCAGGACTCCATGCTGAGAGTAATGGAGAGTCTTTGAAAGAATTTGTTTGTAGTTTTCCCCTAGTTAAGATGGTAAAGTGGCTGTAGTATGATGGCATAACATTTTTTTCTTTTATCAGTTAGATACCCAAGGTTCTTTGATGTTTATTCATAGAAAGAAAGTGACCCTGAGGTTATAACTTTCCTGGGACTCAAATTTGAGTTACATGTTGAGGTTGGTGTATGGTAGCTAGTTATTTAGCAAGTAAGTTTTCCTGAGAGATAAGTATCTACTTTTCAGTGAAGTTTTATTCTTTATTTGGGATATTATTAGAGATATTCTTTATTTGAGATATTATCTTAGTCATTTTCTTGTTGCTGAGACAAAATACCCTATACAAGTTAAAGAAGAAAAGGTTTATTTTAGCTCACAGTTTGTAGAAGTTTCAATCTGTAGTTGGCTGGCTACAAAGCTAGGCGGTATGGCAGAGGAGAAACTGTCCATGGTGTGGCAGGGCAGACAGAGGCATCGAGGCTTCCTCTTCTTTCCCACTGTATTCCATCCAGGCTGCAAGTCTGTTGATTGGTGCCACCCACACCCAGGGTGGGTTTTCTGTCTTCAGTAAGTCTTAGCATTCAAACCTAGAACTATACTAAACGAATCAGTGGACTGATTCAGTATCACACACCCATGGTCCAGTCACTCCTAAAAGCCCCACTTATGAGTACATGAGACTTTGGGGGCCATCTAGATATAAGCCATAATAGATGTTAATTGTTTCTGTGTGTATGTGGGGTGGAGTGGAATTAGATGTTTGAAGTGTGTTAAGGGAGTCTTTTTTTGTGTGTGTATATGTGTTGGAATTGTTAGGTCTACTCTTGTTTTCTCATGGAGTGATAGATGCCAAAGGTATTGGTGAGAAAACAGTTATATATTACATAGTACTTGTCATGTTATAGGTGATTGGTAAAGGGTAATTGTTTTAGACAAAAGAAATGTAAGATACTAAGAGTGTGAGGAAAAAAGTAATGACAGCAAGAAAAGAATATTGTTTGGATTTTTGTATATCACTTTATAGTTTCTAAAATGTTTTGCAGTTCTAGAGTTGAACCAAGAGTCTTTGCACTGAGCTATTTCCTTGATTCTTTTTAAAATTTTTTATTTTGAAACAGAGTCTTGCTAAGTTGCCCAGGGCTGGGCTTGAACTTTGAATCCTCAGTCTCCCAGAGTGCTTAGATTACAGATGTATGTGACACCTGGCTAATAGTATTTTCATATTTCCTCCAGTTGCCCTTTACAACATGTATTTTTATACTTAGATGAAGAAATTGAGTTCCAGGTATCTCAAGACTTCCTTGAGATCACACACTAATAAAGAGTCAGGGTTTAGAATATGTTGTTCTGTTTGTTTGGGACTTGAAGTAAGAATCACCCCTCTTTCTTCTGCCACTATGGTCTCTCAGTAAATTTCCCTAGTGCCATTGGCTATTTTTTGGTAGCCAGGGTTAGGTTGAAATTTTATACTTATTGAGGACTTAGCAATGCTGCTCTGTCATTTTGACATCATCTCTGTCCTTTGTTGAAGTTAATGTTTCTTGGGTACTTTCCTAACTGATTTTTTTTTGGAAGGTAAAATATGCCTTGATCAGTGCCCAGAGATGTATGATTTGCCAAGGAGATATCGCACGGTATCGAGAGCAAGCCAATGACACAGCAAACTATGGGAAAGCACGCAGGTACTTTTACATCTCTATTATTTCTCTTCCCATTAAGCAAAACCCTGTTAAGCAATGGGCTACTTGAACTGCATCACATATGTGTCCTATAAGTGTCTTTGTTGATTCTTTTAATCATACTTTACCACTCCAGGTTCACTTCCACCTAAACCTCAGTTTATGTCTTAAATAGTAAGGCTGTCAGGATGAACTGGGAAAGAGTTGACACGAAGGTAGATTTTTCTTACTGTTTTTCTATTCTAGTTGGTACTTGAAGGCCCAGCACATTGCTCCCAAGAATGGGCGCCCCTACAACCAGTTGGCTTTGCTGGCAGTGTATACGGTAAGAAGTCCTATGGACAGGGGAAGTATTTTTCAGGTAATTTCTTAAAACTGTGGGTTTTAATAGCAGCTCTTTATTTCATCTGCTCACTGTATCCCAAAGAATACCTATCCTCTCTCTCTCCCATCCTCAAACTCAGTTTGTTCCTCTTATTTTCAGAGGTAAGTTGTCAGAAATTCCTCACTTCATTGATTCTACTTCATCCATTTAGTTATCACCGCATTTAAGTTTCTGAGGAAATGCTTATATTCCAGCCAAATACCAAAGCTTCTGCTCTGAATCTTGTCTTGCTTTCCTTTTCTCCTCTGTCCTGTTGATCTAGGAAGGAAGATGTTCTCCATTTACCTCTTGTCCTTAAAGTCTTCACATAGCTCTCAACAGCTTGCTGCTTTTCCTCAGATCGTACTACTACTCACCTAAGGTGTCTTCTTAGCGGAACCACAGTAAATACCTGATCTTACCTCTCTAGATTTTACCAGTTTCCTCTAAATGTGTCTGTAACAGAGAAATTGGCCTTGGGAGCTGAGAGGGCTTCAGGCAGGAATCTCCATTGAAGGGGAGAAGGTGGGGACCAATTGTAGGTACTAAAGATCCACATAACTGTATAGGAGGCAGCTAATATGCTCATTAGGAAGGAAAAAAGATTCTTAATGCTATAAAGTTCATTGCCCAAATAAGTAGTATTTGAGTTTCATATGTATATTCCCCCTTGTTCCATAAAAGATTTAAAGGAGTTCCTAATTACGGATTGAAATAGTATAATTGATTAAGTAATGTGGCTTAATGAAGCACTTTCTTCCGTATCTGTTGAGTCTCCTTTTTTTTTTTTATTTTTTTATTTTTTGGTTTTTCTCCGGTACCGGGAACCGAACTCACGACCTTGCGCTTGCCAGGCAGGCGCTTTGCCGCTGAGCTAAATCCCCAGCCCCTTGGGTCTCCTTTTTTTAACACCTGTCTTATTTTCTTTGTGATGGGTATTTGAGATTTTTTTCCGCCTCTTTGTAGCATTACTTTTCTTTCCCCTTTCCCCTTAGCCACCTTCTCCTTATTCTTTTTCCTTGCCTTTTTTCCCCTACCTTTTCTTTGTAATTTTTTAATGAAATGTAAGCTTTCTTGTTAATTAGGAAAGTATAATTGACCATCATCTCTAGCTAGTTTTGTGTTTTGTTGGTCTTTTTGAGATAGGGTTCCGCTATACAATTCAGGCTGGCCTCAAACTCATAGCAAGCCTCCTACCTCAGCCTCCTCAGTGCTGGGATTAGAGGTATGCACCACCACACCTGGCACCTTTATCTAGTTCTGAGACATTTTCATTACCCTTGGGAAAAAACGAAACTCTTCACTTGTTACTGCCTATTTCTCCCTGTACCTAGGGCAACCCATTTGTCTGAGTTCTCTCTGTGCACGTGTACCAATTCCGGATGTTTCATATAAATGCAGTCATATAACCCTTGACCTTCTGGGTCTGGCTTCTTTCATTTAGCATAAATTGTTCAAAGTTCTTCCAAATTGTAGCTGGCATGTGTCAGTAGGTGTGTTGTTACTGAAGGTCAGACTCAGGACCTCGCATATGCTAAGAAAGACTTCTATCACTGAACTACATCCCAGCCCTTTTAATTTTGAGGCAGTCTTGTTAGGTCACCCAGGTTGAACTTGAGCTTGTGATTGTCCTGCCTCAGCCTCTCAAACAGCTGGAATTAAATGCCTACCCCGGGCCAGGGATATAGCGCAGCGGCGTAAGTGCTTACCTGGCAAGCCTGAGGTCATGAGTTTGATTCCAGGTACCAAAAAATAAATAAATAAATAAATGCCTGCCCCTCTGTATCCTGTTTACTTCATTTTTATGGCTGAATAATATTTTATCATGTGGTTACATACCTAGTACATTTTGTTTGTTAATTCATTATTGATGGACATTTGAGTTATTCCCATCTTTTAGCTATGGTGAGTAGTGTTACTGAGATGTACAAGTATTTGAATACCTATTTTTATTTTTGTTGGAGTAGCATTGCTGGGTCATATGGTAATTCTACGTTTAATTTTGTTTTTCTTTTTAAGAGATTGCTAAATTCTTTTCCCTAGTGACTGCCACTTTACATTGTGGCATTTTCTTTTTTGGAACTGGGAATCAAACTCAGGACCTTAAGCTTGTCAGGCAGGTGCCATGCTGCTGAGCTATACCCTGGCCCCTTTTACATTCTTACCAGCAATGTATAAGGCGTTCAGTTTTTCGCCTTTTTTTCTTTTAGTGCCGGTGATTGAATCCAGGGGTGCCCCTATCACTGGGCTATAGCCTCATCCTTTTTTAAATTGAGATAAGATCTCCTGAAGTTACGCAGACTAACCTCAAACTTGAGATCCTCCTGAGTTAGCTCCCCGAAGTAGCCGGGATTATAGGCATGTACCACCACATCTGCCTTTTCTGTATTCTTGCCAACATTTGTTATTTCCCTTTATTTATTTATTTTTTTTTTTTATGACCAACTCAGCACATGTAAAGTAGTATCTTGTTTAGGAGGCTAGTTCTTTTTTTTTTTTTTGGTACTGGGAATCAAACTCAGGACCTTGAGTTTGCCAGGCAGGCACCATGCCGTTGAGCTATATCCCTGGCCCTGGGAGGCTAGTTCTTTAGTCCACTTGGGGACTTTTTAAATTAATAAAATTGATTTTGGGACACAGTTTTAGATTTATAGAAAAATTGAGCATAAATTTCCACTATACTTCTACTTCTTCTGTCCTGCTATTAACATCTTGCCCCTGGGTGTGGTGGTGTGCTTGGGAGACTGAGGCAGGACAGTCACCACGAGTTCAAGGATACCCATAACCTAGATTACATAATGAGTTCAAGACCAGCCTGGATTATACAGCAAGACCTTGTCTCAAAGAACTAAAAACAAAGCGAAAACATCTTGCATTGGGGTACATTTGTTAAAATTGATGAGCCAGGGATATAGCTCAGCTGCACAGTGCCTTGCTTGCCAAGTGCAAGGTCCTCAGTTCGATTTCCAGTACAAAAAAAAATTTGATGAGCCAAAATTGATACATTATACATTCTGTAGGTTTTTGTATTAGTTACTTTTGTCATTGTTGAAACAAAATACCTGATACCCAAAGTTAAAGGAGGAAAGGTTTATCATGGCTTATAGTTTATAGAAGTTTCAGTTCATAGTTGGCTTGCTCCAAGGCAGGGTGCTGTGGCAGAGGAGAAACAGTTCATGGCAGGCAAAAGGCAGCAGAGGAGCAAAGTAGTGAAGCAGCAAGCAACAACAGCAATCCTTTTTCTGTCCCTTATAGTTTATCCAAGCTACATGCTCTTAGAGCAGGTAGCACTCACACCTAGGGTGGGCCTTCCCATTATCCTCACCGAGAAGTATGCCAGACCAATCAGTGGACTAATTTAGTAATCACACAGCCTAGATCCCAGCATCACACACTGTAGATCTGGCCACCTCTGAAAAGCCCCACCTGTGACCACCTGAGCCTTTGTTGGGGGGGTGCCTTCTAGACACAAGCCATAACAGTTTTGACGTTTGCATAGTGACATATGTTCACCATTATACTATCATACAGAATAATTTTACTACCTTAAGAATAGCCTTCTTCAGAACCTCTGGCAACCACTAATCTTTTTTTATTGTTTCTAGAGTGTTGCGTTTTCTGCGTTATATAGTTGGAATTACGTAGTATGTAGCCTTTTCAGATTGGGTTCTTTCAGTTAGCAATATACATTTAAGGTTCTTTTTGTGACTTGATAGCCTACTTCTTTTTATTTCTGAATAATATTCCATTATATGTGTGCCCATTCCATTATATGGGTATTCACTATTGAAGGGCATTTTGGATGCTTCCAGGTTTCTGCAGTTATTAATAAAGCTTCTATAAATATCTATGTGCAGGTTTTTGTGTGGAGATAAGTTTTGAAATCATACAGTTGCTAGATCATATGGTAAGAGTATGTTTAACTTTGTAACAGACTATCAAAGATTTTTTCCCAAGGGCTTGTACTATTTTTCATTCCTACAAACAGTAAAAAAGAGTGAAAAAATTTCATGAGCATTTAGGGTAAGCAATGCTTTGGATTTTTGCCTTTTCTTGTTTTAGTGCTGGGGATTGAACTCTGGGCATTGTGTGTATTAGTCAGGTGAGTTAAATACTTAGCCTGTAATTTTGCTACCACTGAGTTAAATACTTAGCCTGTAATTTTGCTATTCTGATAGGTGTGTAATGGATATATGGAGATTATATGTGTGTGTGTGTGTATGCATCTGTTGTGGGGGGGTTCCCCTTTTCTTTTGAGACAGGGTCTCATTGTGTACTCCAGACGGGCCTCAAACCTATAGCTATCCTCCTGCCTTAGCTCCGGAGTACTGGAATTACAGGCATGTGCCTATAATCACCACACCTGGCTTTTTTTTTTTTTTTTTTTTGAGACAGGGTCTCATTCTATAGTTCAAACTGGTCTTGAACTCATTATGTAGCCCAGGCTGGCCTCCAACTCATGGCAGTCCTCTTGCCTCAGCCTTCCAAGTGCTGGTATGTGCCACAACCCCCAGCAGGTGGATCTTTTTTTTCTTCTAGTACTGAGGATTGATCCAGGACTTTGCACTAAACTACATAGGAATATCGGATCTCACCAGATCGCTCAGGGTGGGCTGGCTCTCCTGCCTCAGTCTCCCAGAGTAGTGGAATTATAGTTGGGTGCCACCATGCCCAGATAATCTCATTGTTTTAATTTGTAGTTTCCTAATGACAGTGACATCTATGGTGAGATATTTATTCAGATCTTTTGCCCAATTTAAAAATGACTTTCTTTTTGCTTATTATTGAGAGGGTTTTTTTGTTGGTTTTTTGCAGTCTTGGGGATTGAACCCAGAACCTCACACATGCTAGGCAAGCCCTCTACAGCTGAGCTACATCTCTAGAGATAAGGTCTTGCTAAGTTGTCTAGGCTGGCCTCAAATTCATCATCCTCCTCCCTTAGCCTTCCAAGTAGCTAGAATTATACGTGTGTGCCACTGAGCCTAGCCTTAACTTAATTTTGTGAAAGGTGTAAAGTCTCTGTGTAGATTTATTATTTTATATTTGAATGTCTGGTTGTTCCAGCTCCATTTTTTAAAAAGGCTGTCCTTTCTTCATTGAATTGCCATGCTTTTTTATGAAAGATCAATTGATTATACTTTCTGATTGTATTATTTCTGAGTTCTGCATTCTGGTCTATTGATCTGTTTTTATAGTCTCTGGCAGCAGTACCCTGTCTTGATTACTGTAGCTTTAGAGTATATCTTCATTCAGGTACTGTCATTCTTCACCTTTGTTCTTCAGTGTTGTGTTGGGTATTCTGGATCTTTTTTCTTTCTATATAAACTTTACATATCCACAAACCTAGTGAGTATAAAGTTATATTGTGTTGTGGTTTCATTTTGCATTTCCCTATTGACTAATGATGTATATCTTATAATGTACTTATTTTCCGTATGGAAAAATTTCTGTTTGAATATGTTGCTTACTGGAAACAATTAAACTTTTAAGCCAGGTCTGGTGGCACATGCCTATAATCCCAGCACTCAGGAGGCTGAGGCAAGAGGACTACTGTGAGTTTAAGGCCAGGCTCAACTATATAGTGAGACCCTATCTCAAAAAAAATTTTTTTTGGTGCTACTGGAGATTGAACTTCTCCCTGAGCTATATTACCAGCCTTATTTATCCTCCTTATTTTTTATTTTGAGATGTGGTGTCATTGAGTTGTGCAGGCTGAGCTTGAATTGTGATCATCCTGCTCAGCCTCCTAAATGATAGGATTACAGGTGTGCACTATCATGCCCTGCCAGAAAAAAAGTAACACAGTACTTATCATTGTACCTTTGTACCACCATCCCCTTTTGAGACAGGATCTCACTATGTAGTTCAGGCTGGCCTTGAACTCAAGTCAGCCCTCCTGCCTCAGCCTCCCACCGTGGCCAGCTTTTAACTGTTTTTACAATGTTTGGAGTTGAACTCAGGGCCTCGTATGTGTTAGATAAACACTATACCACTAATCTATATTCCCAGCCCTTATCCCCCTCCACCTTGTTTTTCTTTTTTGAGATATGTCTTGCTCTGTAGACCTTAAATTCAGTGGCCTTAAATTCACTGCTCCTCCTGACTCAGCTGCCTGAGTGCTGGGATTACAGGGATGCACAATCACACCTGGCTTCATTTTATTTTATTTTTTGTTTAAGGAAGAAAGACTCATACCAACTTCATTTTTAAATGTACATTCTGTGCCAGGTGTGATGGTGCACTCTTGTACTCTTAGTACTCTGGTAAACTAAGGCAGGAGAATCGCAGGTTTGAGCTTGATGTAATTGCCATGGCATCTTCCATAAAGAGCATTCTGATTTACTGGAATTCCTTACAGCTTAGGAGAGACAGCCTGGGAGAGATAATGGGGTTTCCTGGGCCAGCTGTATCATGCTGGTGTCTGGAAGAAAATCGGTTGACTGAATGTCTCTGGACTCTTTGCAGAGGAGGAAGCTTGATGCTGTATATTACTATATGCGCAGTTTAGCTGCCAGCAACCCTATCCTGACTGCCAAGGAGAGTCTAATGAGCTTGTTTGAAGAGACCAAACGAAAGGTGAGTGGGGTGCAGGCAGAATTATTCCTTCCTAGAATACTTTTCCCCTTGTGCATCTGTGTCTTCACAGAAATAACTAATGTCCTCAAGGGAATGATTAATATCCTCATGTGATCCCATCTAGCTGTGCTGATGCAGCCATTGTGCAGAGCAAAACTGATCTTCAGTAGAGCTTTTAGTGGCCTTTAGGGGTACATGTTCCACAGCATCTAGATCACAGAGTTACTAATTTCTGTCAGGCAAAGTGGATGATACTTTGCTACTTTGTTACTGTAGCAAAATCTTTACAGTATTTTTATTTTTTAATAGTCCTTAGTTAAAAAACATAGATGTGAGGGCCCTTTAATTGTTAGCTGAATCCCGGGAGATTCTGAGCTTCTGTGTCTGTATGGTGTACAGGCAGAACAAATGGAAAAGAAACAGCATGAAGAGTTTGAACTAAATCCTGACCAGTGGCGAAAAGGAAAGAAGTCTACCTTCCGGCATGTTGGAGATGACACCACTCGTTTGGAGATCTGGATTCATCCATCCCATCCCCGGTCTTCCCAGGGAACTGAATCTGGGAAGATTTCCGAGCAGGAGAATGGGCTGGGCAACCTGAGCCCCAGTGATGTAAGTTCCTGAAAATGAAGCGGTGAACCAAACTAGTCCTTTAAACGTGGGTATTCTGGTTCATACAATTGTGAGGCATTCTGTATGTGCTTCCTACTCAACCGCGTAAGGTTCTCTAAAGTCCTCTTATTTATAGTCCTTTATTTTTATTGTACACTTCCCTCTGTCACCACTATGTGGCACTGTAGAATTTAGTAAATGGATTAGAATTTTTCTGCTGCTTTCAGTTGCGCATGACCAATATGATGCATTAGGATTTTTCAGGATTTTGTACTTAACTTTGCCCTCTTGGTTAACTGACTCTCTGTCTACCTGTTTATTTATTTGTGTGCTTTTTGACCTTATACATTATTTAAAGAATGGGCTAAAGCATCATGGGAAAGTTGGTAGTCTGGTTTGTGAACAGCCTTTTTTTTTTGGGGGGGAGGTGGGGGGATTTCCAGTACTGGGAATCAAACTCACAACCTTGCGCTTGCCAGGCAGGTGCTGTGCCTCTGAACTAAATCCCCAGCCCCTGAACAGCCTTTTATAAGTTACTTTCTTAGGGTTTGGACTGTTTCCTCAAAGCCAGAAGAAACAACAGTAGATCCAGGGCTGGGGATTTAGCTCAGCAGCACAGCGCCTGCCTGGCAAGTGCAAGGTTGTGAGTTTGATTTCTGGTACCAGAAAAAAACCAAAAAACAACAAAAAAAACAAAGAAAAACCCCAGTAGATCAGAGGCCTACATGAAAGATTTCTTCTCCTCTTCATTTGCACAAATAATTACTGAACACTGTATCTAGATCTCCCCTTGCTCTCAGGGCAGGCATTCTAGTGGAAGACACAGAAGGTGAATAGATAGTTAGAGTACAGTGCAGTTTGTTGTGGGGAACATAGCAAATTTTAAGGGAGCACATGGCCATGGGACTAAAGTAGCCACTGGTCAGATGAAGTATAAAGAATGAATAAAAGTTATCTAGAAGAGAAGGGAAAGAAGCATGGTAAAGATCTCAGGCAAAGGAAATAGCATACAAAGACCTGAGGCTAGAGAGAGAGCACACAGGAGTTGGAAATTTGTAGTTGCTGATTTATTGTGCCTTGTATATAATTCATGTAAAAAGAACTTGAGCCAAGAAGTGGCTTTAGAGGTAGGGAAAAGTGAACAGTTATAAGGTATATTAATAAGGTAGAATCCAAAGGACTTGATTGGATATGGAAAGCTCAGAGAAAAGGGGGAATCAAGAATGACACAAATGTTTCTGATTTGGAAACTGGGTAGATGATGGTCCATTTCCTGAAACAGGGAACAAAGGTGGAGCTGGTTTTTAGGAGAAAGATGATAAATTAATTAATTAATTAATTTATTTATTTATTTTTTTCCCCGGTACCGGGAATCAAACTCACAACCTTGCACTTGCCAGGCAGGTGCTGTGCCGCTGAGCTAAATCCCCGGTCCCTGAAAGATGATAAATTTAATTTTAGATTTTCTTTTTTTGATGAGTTTAGTTTTAGACCTATTGAATTGATCTTGTGTGACACTGAAGCAGATTTAATTCAGAGGCTAACAAGTTTCTGAAGCTAAGGAGAATACTTTAGGACCAAGATGAAGATTTTTGTAGGTATCTTCTTATAGATGGTAACGAAACCATGAGAGCTGGTCAGTTTGAGGTAAAAACGTACAATGATAAAAAAGTGGAAGGTGTAAGAAAGAAGACCCTTGTATTGGGTGGGAGAAGAGTAAGATCCAGACAAATTGGCCTGATAGAGGGCGAGAGATCCCTTTTTTAAGCCTGAGGGAAAATATAAACCTGAGATATACCTGGGGACACAGGTAAACTTATAGGTATTATAGGATGAAAAAGAGAGTGGGCATTTTTTTCTTTCTTGAAAGTTGGAGGCTGGAAAGCAGTAATTACTGGTAAATGAAACTACCAACTTTGTACCTACCACCATGTACATGGCACTGCACATAGCACTGTCTGTGTGTGTTATAACAGTATCTTTTTTTTTTTTCTTTTTTTTTGTTTTTTTTTCCGGTACCAGGAATCAAACTCACGACCTTGTGCTTGCCAGGCAGGCGCTATGCCGCTGAGCTAAATCCCCAGCCCCAAATGGAATCTCTTGTTTGTTTGTTTCCAGTACCGGGAATCAAACTCACAACCTCTTGCTTGCCAGACAGGCACCGTGCCGCTGAGCTAAATCCCCAGCCCTATAACAGTATCTTAAGATGTATCGGGTCATTGCTATGGTAGAATCTCTTGTTGCTGCCCTCTGCTAGTTTGGCTATTACACCCCTAACCTGGAAGCCCGTTTAGATAGAAATAAATTGTCTTACTGGATTAGCTACATGCTCCAACTGTTTTCAAAATGAAAGCACCAAAAGAACAATTTGACTTTTTTTTTTTTCTTTTGAGACAGGGTCTCACTATGCAGTTCAGGCTGGCCTTGAGCTCACTTTGTAGCCCAGACTGGTCTCGAACTCACAACGATCCTCCTGCCTCAGCCTCCAGAGGGCTGGGATTACAGGCGTGTGCCACCACGCCTGGCTAAAAGAACAATTTGAGAAAGTATTTTGTAACTTTCTTTAATGTTGGCGTCAAAGTTAATGAACATTCCTCATAGAGGCTATAAGTAATCTTTTATAGTGCTCTTTTTTCCATTAGAGGTATATGTGTGTGTGTGTGTGTGTGTGTGTGTGTGTGTGTGTGTGTGTATTGTACTGGGGATTTAACCCAACGCCTTGGCTCTGAGCTACATCTTCAGCCTTTTAAAATTTTTTTTTAATTTAGAGACAGGGTCTCACTAAATCGCTAAGTTGCCCAGACTGGGCTCAATCTTGTGATCCATCTGCCTTACCATCACAAAGTGCTGCCCCACCACACCCAGCTTATTTATTTTAAAGAAATGTATGTTAGGGCTGGGGATGTGGCTTAGTGTTTCAGCACTTGCCTCACATGCACAAGGCCCTGAATTGAATCTCTAGCACTGCCAAAAAGAAAAAAGATAATATGCTTATTTTTATTGTGTACATCGTTTTCTCTCTTTTTTTTTTCCTTTTGAGACAGGGTATTGCCATGCAGTTCAGACTGACCTTGAACTCACAATGATTCTCCTGCCTGAGCCTCCCAAGTCCTGGGGTTACAGGTGTGCACCCCCATGCCTGGCTTTTTTGTTTCGGGACAGGATCTTTTTAATTTGCTAAATTTCCTATGCTAGGCTTGAACTTGGAATCCTCTTGTCTCAGCCTCCCAGAGTGTTGGAATTAGATGTGTGAGCCACACAGAAGGCTAGGAAAGGCATTTTCAACATGTAAACTATTATTGTGCCCATTAGTTTTTTTTGTTTTGATTATTCAAGTAATATGTGAATTATCTTCTTAGTAAAAAATTCAAAGTAATTGGAGACATATATTGGGTCAGTTATGCGAGTTTGTTTTCTAAACTGTTTGTGAAATTGTTTATATATTTTTTAGCCCATATATCACCTTGGAAAAACTTTTTTCCCTTTATTTCTTTTAAATTTATCTTCTAAGCTGGGCGTGGTGGTGCATGCCTGTGGTCCCTGCACTCGTGAGGCTGAGGCAGGAGGATTGTTGCAAGTTCAAGACCGAGACCCTGTCTCAAAGAAAGAAAGAAAGAAAGAGAGAGAGAGAGAGAGAGACAGAGAGAGAAAGAGACAGGGAGAGACAGAGAGAGACAGAGAGAGAGAGAGAAAGAAGTTAGAGAGAGAGAGAGAGGAAGAAAAGAAAGAAAAAGAAAGAAAGTTAGTTAGAGTTATTTGTAGGCTGCCAGTACTTGAGAAAGAAGTCTGCAGTTTTATACCCTTTCTTTTATCCAGTAATGAAAGTACACTGCTGTTTTTATTTGCTTTCTCAGGCCCCAGTCAACTCCTATAGTTTTCTCTTTCTTGCAATAGGCTCAAACTACTCCGCTCTTTTTTTCTTTTGTTTTCCCCTGGTGCTGGGGATTGAAATCAGGGCCTTTATACTGAGCTACCTCCCCAATGCCTTTTAAAATTCTTTTCTTTTGAGACAGAGTGTTGCTAAGTTGCCTAGGCTGGACTTGAACTTGTAGACCTTACACCTCAGCCTCCCAGAGTGCTGGGATTCTAAGCATGTGCCACGATGCCCAGGTAGCTTGGTTTTTTTCTGTTCCAAAAACACATGGAATGATGAGAGATAGGCATCAAAAGTACAAAGATTAAAACAATGAAACACAGTCTTTAACCCTAGAAGCACTTTGTCATGTGGAGAAAACAGAAACAAACAAATGCATTGTGTGCCATATAGCATTTCAGTCAGTGACAGACCATATATGTGTTGCATGGTATGGTGGCCTCATGTGACTGTATTGCCTACTTATGCTGACGCTGTCTGTGTTTGCGGTAAGTATATTCTGATGTTTGCATAATGATGAAATTACCTACGAGTGGACTTCTTGGAACATATGTCCACAATTAAGCAATGCAAGATTGTATTTGATTGCGATGTAGTGAGGCAAGTGCTATGACAGAGGAAAGCATAAGAGGCTGTGGGAGCAGGCAGTTAGAGCACCTGATCTGGCATCCTTAGAGAAGGCTGTGGTGAGGTAGCATTTTGCAGCTGAAATATAAGGGCATTTCTACACTAAGGCAGGAGAGCTTGAGAGAAGCATAGAGGCTCAGAAAACTATAAATAGTTTAGTGTAGCTGCAGACTAAGATGTGAGATGTGCTCTTGCTAGAGACTTGAGTCATCCTTTACCTTGTTCTTTCCTATGTTCCCACATTGAGTCAGTATTAAGTGCTGTTAAATCTACCTTTTTATTTAATTGATTGATTGATTGTCTTTTTTTGAGACAGGGTGTCACTATGCAGTTCAGGCTGGTCTTCAACTCACTTTGTAGCTCAGACTGGCCTCGAACTCGCAATGATCCTCCTACCTCAAACTCCCGAGTGCTGGGATTATAGGTTTGCACCACCATGCTTGGCTTTATTTTTTCTTTTAGCTTTGTTTTGTTTTTGTTTTTTTGTTTTGTTTTGTTT